CTTCCATTTCTGCGGACACTAGATTGGGTCCGTTGTCCGTTCTCAGGGTATTAGGTACCCCATCTCTGGAGAACTGTTTATCTAAACACTTGATGATCGTCTCAGAAGTGGTAGATTTAATGTTGTCAACTTCTACCCATCGGCTGAAGTAATTCACCAAGACCAGCAGATATTCTCCTGTTGGCATAGGCCCAAGTAAGTCCAGTACTAGATCATGCCATGGCCTCTCTGGCATCCTGGTTATTTTAACAGGCGGAGTGATTGTCTCCTTTGTGACCAGTAGGCACCCGTAACACTCCCGGCACTTCCCTTCCACAGCCTTGTCAACTCCTGGCCACCACACTTTAGACCTGAGTCTCTCCTTCATTTTGACGATTCCCTGGTGACCTTCGTGTGCGAGTTCCAAAACCCTTTATCTCAGCACTTTGGGTATCACAACTCGTGTTACACGTAGTATAACTTTACCAATGAACGTCAATTCGGTTCGCACCATCAAAAATGACCGTGCGCCCTTCTCCCAATTTCCACTAACAAGGCAATTATGCACGGCTTGTAACTCTTCATCCTCTGCAGAGGCACTCTCTATTTCCTGGATCTTAATGGCTACGGGGACTGCTTTGAGAGCAACCATCCGGACATGTTCATCATCATAACGACATTTCTCTCATGCTTGGAGCGTTGTCAGACGTGACAGGGCACCAGCAATGTTATCTCGTGATGCGACGCAGCATACCTTGTAACTATATGGTTGCAACCGCAACACCCAGCGTTCAATGCGTCTGATGGCTTGGATCCTCTGGAGTAAATCACCTTTTAAAGCGTCGTGATCTGTCACCAAGTCAATGGTCTGCAAGACGTTCAAGTATTCGTTGAACCATTCGCACGTCCACACTAGTGCGAGCGCTTGTTTTTCTATCTGACTGTATCTCCTTTCTACGCTGCTAAGGCTCCTGCTGGCGTAACAGAGGGTTCTCCCCACACCATTCTTCTCCTGGACTAGCACTGCACCTAGCCCCACCGGACTTGCATCAGCTATCACTCGAGTATGTGCCTCTTTGTCAAAGTATGCCAGAACAGGCGCCTTGGCTAACTGCTGTTTCAGTTCCTGAAATGACGCGTCTTGCTCACTCTCCCATACAAAGGGTACTCCCTGCCTAGAGATCGCTCGTAGAGGTTCTGCAATGGTGGCAAAGTTGGGAACAAAACGTGCACTGAAGCCGACCATCCCCAGGAAGCTCCTAACCTCTGTTGGTGTGGTTGGGCGGCTTGATTCAAGTACAGCACGGACTTTCTCTTCGGTTGGACCGATACCGTACTTTGACACTAGAAGTCCCACGAAGACTACTTTGTCCATCCTGAATAGCCCTTATCGCATTTGTGTCTGCAGTGCAAAGGGTCCGCGGAGTTACAGTTTCAGGACGAGGCTATCGGGTCAACGTTTCTCGAGAAACACCAGAAACACTCCATGTCTGACCATATAACTTTGGAATCTGCGTATTTTTCTGCCGAGGAAAAGGTTAAAATTCTTAGTCCTGGCATGACGAAAGGAAGATTGAAAGAATGGCTGTCATTTCGGAAAGGAACGGCAAAATTTTGTGGCGTTTATTCATGACTACGGTTGTTTTTCCTTTATCGGCCTTTTTAAGAGGCTGTCTCTGTAAGAGCGGTCCGGTCGATTTTGCTTGAGACAAAAATTTCCCTCATTTCTTGTGTGTTGTAAGACATTTGTGTGACTATACTAAAACCACAATCCGTTTGATCGGATCTCTATTTTTCAGAGTTTTACGGAAATTAAATTTCACTCGAGCAAAGGCCTATCGTGACACTCTTCAAGACTTTAATTTGAGACAACTTTGGAGGGCAATTTAAAAAAAAACTACGGAACTTAGCAAAAAACAAATACCCCAGCCATGTATATTAACTCTATCTTATCCATCGAGGTGAATTTCGTGAACATCACATTTCAATCAAGGAAACAAGAAGACTTCAATGACAACTTATTCGTTCGCTTAAGTCACACACGCGAAAACCGATCAAATTCAAGGTAAATTTTTGAAAAAGTGAGGCGTTCTTAACTGATCCAACTAACACAGCTAGGAAGTAGATGCCATAGAAATGGTAACTACAGAAAAAACTTTGCGGCCCGACCTTTGTGAAAACTTTATAACTCCGCGAACTTACCTGATTTTCGGCAGTCTTCAGCTTTGGCCGCCATTTTGAAGGACTCGTCAACACTAAGGGTTGCAGATATAAATCGAGCAGTTAGATCTAAAACCGTCAGAAATACATACGGAAGCAATTTAAATTAACTTTTCTTTCAATTCAAGCGGTAAAATTTGCAATTGTTTGTTAAACTTACCATTCCTACATTCCCATGCGTCCATTTCTTCCGACAAGTCAAGCACTACAACTAGTGTTCGAATTCCCCTCGTCGATGTCACCATAAGAAATAACCTGTGTCACCCAAGCTTAGACTTGAATGTGAAGTACGAATCACATAACACAACTGCTTCATTTTCGAGGCGATATCACGCTGGTTTTTTGATTTTCTGATCGACAATAACGGCGATCACGAAGTGATATCGATCGCCATGTTTACCTCATAAACGAACAGCTGACCAGCCGCTAAGTGAAAACAGTACTGCTCAGTGACGAGGAGGAGGGTATGGGGTGGGTGCGGCAGATTATCAGATTTTTGGGAACATTCGAATATATTCATTAAAGTATCATAGTATGCATTACGATTCTCAATCTTTGTGCAAAAGCATGCTTTGTGTTGCAGATCTAAACAACTTTTGTTTTGCTCGGTATTCTTTTTTTTCTTTCAAATACATTTAGTTCCAAATAGGATCGGCATCAGTTCATAGATTTATAAA